ATTCATTACTAATTGCTTAATTTTATGGTATCATTATAGTACCTCGATAAATAAGAACGAAGGATAATTTTTTGAAGATCGAAAATTAAATATATACTTAAGGTTCTTTTAATTGATTATAATTTTGCATTTCTATACATAAAAGTATCTTCAGTTTTGTTAACAATCAAATAATTTCTTGTTGATTTGTCAATTTTAGAATTTTTTGTTACTATAACTCTCTATAACTTAATAATTAGATGGTGACGTTATTACGTATAATAATGTAAACTTTTACTTAAGTACTTAACTAATTCAAAACGATAATCAAATATTCTTAATTGTTATTGTTATTGTAAAAAAAAGGAATACTCCGAAAACGTTTGGACAAATCTGTTCAAAAAAGAGAGCCTCTTCTCTTCTCAATATTTTCAACTCGATTTTCAACTTTCATATCTGTAACCTAGAGGTTTAGAGAAGATTGCAGCAATAACAAAAAAGCCGAAGAAAGAAAACGGAAAGAAGAATGTGCAGCGATACGCCGTGAAAAGTGATCACGTACGCTTGTACACGTGCGAGATCGATTTCGGCCACCTGTTGAAGGTCTGCGGGGTCGAGAGAGCGGACGAAGTTGTGGACGATTTCTTCCGTCGCGCGACGAAGACGATGATAATGATCCGCCAAGTTTCGCCGTTGACGCGGAACGAAGTTCTTAGAATCTAACGGACGCGTCGCTAGGCCGCGCGGATTTCTCGGGCGCGGGCGCGCGCGCGCGATTACGCGAGAGATTTAGGCCGACGTGACTACTGGAGGGCTCGCGCGTCCTCGGAGGACCCACGAGGCGAAGAAAAGAAGACGAAGTATATACGAAAAATATAAAAATCCTATCTCACACATATATATACACTCACAAACGCGCACGGAGGACTTCCTTTACACGGTTGTTCCTCTTTTGCAACTCATATCGCAGTCTCATCCGCGACGAAGAGTCACGCATGTCCGATTGTTTTTCTCCTCGCGAGAGAGATCGAGAGTTCGGTCTCCGATTTCTTTCACGGCGACACGCGGAATTGCACGCGCGCACGCTCGACCATCGTTCGTAATCGAGACTGTCCGTGGAAACTGCACCTTCTCTCACGAAGCCCGCGACTTCGACTTCGTTATCGTTCCATTTATCTATCTTTTATCTTCTCTTCTCGAGAAAACGCGTGCGAAAAATTGCGGCACGTCGTGCACGTGTCTAAGGAGCACATGTATCTCTCTACCGCGCTGGTTCTCCCTCGCGGAGTATACTTCGGACGTAATACGCGCGTTCAGTCGTTCAGCCGCGCGACGACTCTCGCGACTTCATCGAGGATGCTGGGTCCGCAATTGCGAGACGACGATCTTTCGCGGCGCGCGCTCGATGCTGCTCTCGCTCTCATCTCGGATACCAGCGCGGACGGACGATCCACCAGTCGGGGCGTCGCGACGCCGGGCTACGTGTGCGAAGCGCGTTGCCTCCCTGTCCTGCCGGCGACTGAGACGCGAGAAAATCGGCTTCGAGGGAGACCGAGGGCGGCTTCGCGCGCACGCGTATGATCGCGTATGATCGCGATGCGCCTACCTGGGTGCCCGCGGAGATATATATTTACGACGGACGGGGGGCGGGGGTGGAGTCTCCGATCGATGTCGATGCTTAACTTTTTCCTTCCTCCGCGTAATATTTTAGGCTCGCACCTCCCTCGCGAGCGAGAAAACGGCGCACGTGCCGCGTTTTAGTAGCGTTTTTTATTGAATAATATCTTCTTTTCGGAAGCTTTCTTTATTATTAAAAAGAACTTTCGAATGACTGGTAAATTTTACTCAAGTAAAGTATTTATTTATAAATGACTTTTGCTCAAATTGCTTTATTTTATTAAAGCCAGATTTGCCATTCCGTTTCGAACAAAGAGAATCCTTCCGCGTTTATGACAGTTTTTTAGGAAAAGCGCAAGCAAGCGAAACTTAAAGCTGTATTCTGAATAGCCCAGGGAGATATAAAACAACAGAAATAATTGAATGCACAATTTCGAAAAGGACACATCTCTGAATTAAATCAGTTTTTTCATTCCTGAAAATAAAAATTTTTCTGGAATGAAAAAACTGATTTAATTTTAACTATTATACCCAGTGATACAAAAAACTTTACAATTTGCATTTTAGGGTCAAATTACGATTACAGGAGGGTGCCTTTTTCGTACAAAAAAATGTGTAATTAGAGCACATATTAGCGAAAAAACTTGTAAGCCAAAAAATGCGAGATGTGTCCTTTTCAAAATTGTACATTCAATTATAAGGCTGTTATAAGGATCTCCATAGAACTATCCGCTTTTGTATTTATTGCCATCATTACTGTCATCGTACATAAATAAATTTTTCTTCTAAATTAAATAAGGTTGATCTATTCGCTACAAGCTGAGCTATAAAGTCAATCATTGGCCAAGTGACGAGCAAGAAGTGATTTTAGGTGTTAATTATCAATTTATTCAATCAGAAAGAACAAAATTAAGAAATGTACAAAAAGTGATGTACGGTTTTTGTACATTTCTTAATTTGTTCTTTCTTATTGAATAAATAATTGATAATAAACTAAATTCACGTCTTTTTCTCGTCCTTTGGTAAATAATTTACTTTAATAAATCTTCTTTTTACTTCACACTCGGAATGACGATTGGAAAAACGAGACGGAAACAAAAGACTTGGGATAATGCAACTCTACTAACACTAATTCAAGCGTTCTTACAAGATAACGTAAAAGCTTTAAAGCTGCATCTTTCTTTCCGCATCTTATTTTCGCTTTCCTCTGTCACCGTCTTCGAGCTCGCTAGTTTTCAGTAAGCCGCGGCCAGGTAAAGCCAGAAATAAAATATTCTCATTCGTAGAATCGTTATGTTTTGCGATTTATCGCGATCCACATCGTGCCACGTGTCGTCGAGAGCTATGTCAAGGCGGCGGCCAAAAATACTTGAGATTCCCGCGAGTCCGGGAGTGTTCTCCAGAATCTAATAAAGTCGAAATGAATATATCCTTCACGCGGAGGTCCACAGGCGTGATTCAGTTTCGAGGGGGGCGGGGGGCGCGAGGGAGGATAAAGAGCGACGAATTCGCGGTGGGGAGGGAGGCAGGGGAGAAGTTTCCCCGTTTGCATCTTATTGCGGACAAATTCTTCGACTCGGTTATAATATGCTCGTCCGCGAATGGACTTCCGCCGCGAGATATGCCAACTATTCCCAGTTCATTCAAGGGAACAGGGAAATATGGGATTTCGCGCGTAAGAGGAACACCGACCGGAATGTCGGAAATAAAAAGTCGACGAGAGTCGTACCGGTCGTACGCTTCGTATTTCGTATGCAATCTTACCGCGCGATCCGATTGATGTCCTATGATATCCGAGAATCCGCGTTTACGTTAATTAACGCGTTGCGAATTTGCAATGCCGAGCGAGCGTCCATCGAAAACTCGTGGGTCACCCGTTAGAGCGCAGCACCCGACGGAGCGATAAAGTTGCGCGCTTTATCATAAATCTAAACAACTACTTGGACTTTTGCGTCAACAATTAATCCGAGATAAGCTATATTCTTTAACAGAATAGGTCGTATGTATACATATATTTTTTTTGCTCTTTTATTCCTCCTAAAGAAGATAACGCGATATTTTTAGAATTGGTAAATAAATACTCGAAGTAACGTCAATAAACAAAGATATTTGTACGAGCATAATTAAGATATTTCAGAGACTTGAATATAATAATTACGGAATATTGCAATATGTATATATAATAAATATATTCTTGTTACAATTCTTTTCGTAACTCTTTACGATGTAATAGTGAATATAACGCAACAATCTATTCTTTTAATTGATACGCGACAGAAAAAGAATTATTTACTGCTTTCAAAAACATGAAGCATAGATTTTTCGATATTTTCGGAATATGTATGAAATTGTGCTAAAAATTTCGTTGCGTGATAGAAATGAGATTAAATGCTTTGTGGATAAACAAGAGGGACAGGAGGCATGGGTGTTTTCATGGAAAAAAGTGCTATTATAAAATACAGTAATTTATTAATAATTAATCATTTATCGTCAGCGTACTCATCATGATAAATTAAAACTTGCAGATATTTCATCTTCCTCGCTATACACTACACATTTTGTCACATTTGTCTCGCAGCTTATAATATACAGGTCTCGGTTTTATCTATTTTGCTATTTATATATATATATATATATTATTTATATATATTTATAATTTTTTATTTATTTATAACAGCATGTAGCAATTTGACAAACTCGCAGAACTCTAGTTACACATGCACACGTGGCCAATCGCTCGCTCTTTCGTTCCTTCTTTCTCTCCCTCTCTTTGTATTCTTTCTATATAATATGTCATATTTATATATTTATATATGCGCACGTATGTGCGCCTCTCTTTGTCATAATGTCGTGTCGCGGATCCCACACTGCGACTCCTTTTTACCGTTTACAATATATCGTTCACGTCATATAATTGTAAAAGTCAGATAGTGCGAGGGAAAGAGACTGCGGTCGATTTTCTACACGGAATCGCAGAGAGAGAGCGGCGCGCTGTCGACGACCACCGTAATTTCCTTTCTTTTTTCCTTTTAGTCGATACAGGAGAAAAAAAAAGACTCACTCCAGTAGGATACACCCAATCGACGTACGCTCGAGTACACAGAACATTCAGCTAAGTCGCAATTGCATATTTTTTAAAATTACCTGGAGAACATCGGCGGAGAAAGAAAAGCAGTAGGGACGATATATGATTAATCGTTTAAATTAACATTACGCTTCTCGTCTACGGTTAATTCGTAAAGGTATGTGCGCTACTAATGCGTCGTGATATTCTTTTATTGATTGGTCATAGGTAAGGCCAAGGAGCGGATCTCGGAACGCGCGGTGACCCTCTCGGCACGACGTGATTTGATTTACGGCAATATTCCTCAGACACTATTTACACATTGTATAATATAATAAGTATGATCGCGCGCACGGGTCGCCGCCGACCGAGTCGTTCCGAACATCCGCCTTCCGTTTTACGCCTACCGTCAGCTTGAAAATCCTAAAACGACACGACGTTAACGGCACACACATTCGTCGCTTTATGAGGAATAGAACAAAACCGTCTCGAATCCGAGAAGGATCACAGATTTGTCTTCTGCACGCGCGCGCGCGCGCGAGAGAGAGAGACTATTCCACTTTTACGAGATGTGAATGAGATGCTTCGAGCTCAATAAATAATAGTGACACTATCATCTGGTATGTTAGTCTCCTAGCACAATTTTCCCTATCAAAAATTCGATACGAAGGCACGAAACGTCTGGGAGAAATGTATTCGTGACGGCGATTTTTTTTCGTGCGGTTTCTTTCGTATCACCCGGTGCGCTTCGATATTGCGGGCGTCGCGTTGGCTTAATGATTAATTAACTTATTTTACAATTTGATTGTTATAACTTAAGATCGAACGAAAGAGAAGAACAATATGGAAATAATTGTATTTGCTAATCTGCATACACGTAACGCCTAGCGTTACGTATCATCACTCGTGAAAATAAATAATCGCTTCCATACATACACACTGTAATTATAATAAACACTCTGCTCTTCCGCACATTTAACGCTAAATGTGACCCGCTCGCTGCGCAATGTCCGTACTACTAAATCCAGTATTGGACACGATCGGATGTTCAGCGTTAAATTTACGATGAAAATAATAGCGGCTTTGTATGCAAACGCGCGTGTATACACACCGTGTGTAATGCAACGCGTTTTATATATATATAATATATATCCGATATATCCGTATATGTATATATATGTACATATGCGGAATAATCCAAGCGTTCTGTGATCGACAAAGAGTTTAGGATAACTATATATACTTTCAATGTTAGTGACTGAAAAACAGAGTGTATAGTAGCGCCGAATACAGCCGTCGTGTAGTCGGAGGAGTTTATCAAGGAGTAAGTAAGTTACGAGTACTTTTAAGATTCAGTGTTCTCAAAGACTCTACTACGACATTAAAGAATCTGGAGACATCCTGCTTCTCAGCTAGAGACCCGAAATCTCTGTAATCTTATTCTAAATCATGTTATCTTCTCCGTCTATGACGCGCGAAGATTTCTTTATCTACTAAAGGAAATTACGCTCGAGTCTACTCTACGATATACACAGCATTTGAAAAGGATGAGAAGCGAGAGAGGAACATAATGTCGCGTTCTGCCACAGCGGTCACCTGTGGAGATTTAAGTTGTGAGAGTTAAGAGGTAAAATATCGTATAAAACGTGACTAACGTGATCCTGCTAAAATTATGCGACGGACGTTCATAGTAAAGTACAAAAGAAGCAAGTGTCACAGTGTCGTGTTCATTTGTACTATGTAGAGACGTTAGAGACACAGAGCAGCGGAAGTCCCTGCGATGTATACGAGGAATTATTTTCGTTATTAGAGACACTACTGTTACGGAGTTTATAAAATCCGGCAGAGAGTCCACCACGTAGGCAAAGTACCCCGAGTACTTTTGGTAGTTTCCGCCGGGAACGAAGCGGTCGAAGACTCGGGACCACTTCTGCTTTCTTTATATAACGCAAATTTAATTTTCTCTTCGGAACTCATAATAACGCCTACGGCAAGTTAGAGTCACTGTGGATATGAAAATCTGAAAAATCGCTCGGTGCAATGCAGAAACTTGTGCCACGTGGATGAAAAAAAATTAAAGGGGAAAGTAAGATTTGCGTTTCGATGACTCTAAGCAAGCTGTACGAATGCACTAACGTGAAAAGTTTACACTATACATTATAACGACTAAATAGATAGCGTCTCTCTGATCAGTTTCTTCATGGTGTTGCCCATCGTGGTGGTCGACGGACTGGAGGTCGTGAAGGACAATTTGAAGAGATACGGCTGTATGTCCGGATACGAGGTGTCGAAGATCAGATCCAGCTCGGCCTGGCTCGGCACTTTCGGAATGTAGTCGTGCCGATTCATGACCTCGGTGATATAGAGGATCTTGTCGGTCAGCAGATCACCCACTTTCTCCCGGCATATCTGCCGTTCGTGCTCGGTGGCCAATTTGATAAGTTCAAGACGCACGGTCCACACTTCCCAAGGTATGCACTCCGGCTGAAACGGCCAGCGACTCTTTTTCCTCTGGAAGAATTCTAGGGATATCTGGCCGGAGCCCGGGCTGTCGGTGGAGCGTAGCGCCTCGGAGAAGCCCGATATCTCGCGCTTGAGCGTCTGGTCGAGGTGCACCGACGAGCAGCAGACGTACGTGAAGTCAATGAAGTCGCAGTCCACGTCCTGGTATCCCACAGTGCCCACCGAGTAGCTGCCCTCCTGTTTGTACTTGAATTTGCCGAGGCTCCGATGGAATAGCACGCTGTGGAATATACTCGCAACCGCCTCGTCCACCTGACGGCCCTCCATGCTCAATTCAAACAGCTGCGTCCTGGCGTTCATGGTGATGCCTGTGGAACACATATCACAGTTTCTTGCCACAATCTCTAAGTAACGTGTGTTCGATGAATAAATAAATAAATTTAATAAGAAATAAGAGGTAAGTAGAACATAAAAAATTATTGACATGTCTATAGAAATTGAAGAAAGCGTTACGCTAAATCAAAATGCTCCAGCGTCATCATCGAATATTTTATTACAAGCAATGGAATGATCCCAAGGACAATCACATAAGAATGATAAATCATGAACGGGTTGCAGGATTAGATAGTAAGCTGTCGAAAGATACGACCATGCAGCAAAACATCTCTATTGGGAAACAAGGATGAATAAGAGGGTATACAAAGAAATGATTCATGGCTGTGTCATCGAGTCCTCTAAATAACAAAGAGAGAACAAAGGAGAACCAATAAGACTAACTCCTCCTGCAAAAGACTGAGATACACGTTCGTCAATTCATCACAATTTAAGGAAACAGGCAACGGCAGCCTTCATTACCGGAGTCTGGCCGAGACGGTCGCGCGAGTCAGCAGGCCTAACCTCGAATCCCCGAGGGATCCAACGGAAGTGCACGCTGCTAGGCCTATACTTTTTAGCTAAACTTTCCTTTTCACGTTGGAGAGAAAATGAGAAAAGATGAACCGCGCAAAAAAATCACCTGAATAGAACAGACCTGCTGACACACGTGGACGACAAATACAGTTCGGGACATTAGAAAAGACGAAAGCGGGAATCGGCGGGACGACGTCGACCTTGCGGCCGGTCGCGCTCTTTACGTAACGCAGCGTGGTCCCAGGACGAAAGGACGGACGGGAGGGAGAGGGGGAATGGAGCCGTGCTCCTAGAAGGATAACGCACTTATCGCCGAAGGCGCGGGTCAACTTCGCCGCTCCACTCCCTCCCGAGATCGCGCCGCCTCGCCGTCGCCGTCGCCGTCGGCGTCCTCGTCGCCGTCCTCGTGCCGTGCGATGGCGAAAACGCAGCTAGGTTAGTTTCTCGCGCTGACTCGGTGACCTCTGCCGCCGCGGGTTCCGCTACCCTCTTCCATCGAGTCCGTTTTCGCGCGTCCCGCTTTTTTCTCGACGCACCACCACCACCACCACCACCACGACAACCAACACGACCACCACCACCACCACTACCACTGCCGCCGCCGTCGCTGCCGCCACCAGCACTGTCACCAACGCCGTCGCCTCCGTCGCCGCCTCCACCGCCGCCACCGCCGCCACCGTCGTCGTCGTCGTCGTCGTCGTTGCCGTCGACGTCGTCGCTGTCACGTTCCCGTCACGTCGCCGTCACGTCGCTCGCACGCGAGTTACCCCGTTACTCCGACCCGCTCACTCCGTCGAGTATATATCTCCCATCGTCTTCGTCTCCCCGACCAGTCCCGACGACGGGGAGCCAGGGCAGCCAGGCGTCGCGTCGTGCCACGCGCTCTCCTGCTCTCCACTCTCTCTCTCTCTCTCTCTCTCTCTCTCTCTCTGCTCCTGTCTCAGCAGCGACAGCAGCCAGTGGCCCGTTCCACACGGGTTTGTGGGTAAACAACAGCTGTGCCCGTAGCACACGCCATCTTGACGCCGCCGCGCCGCTGATTCGCGCTTCGACACCTGGCCCCGCGAGGGCTCCACGCGCTCCGTTCTACGTTCCGTCACCCGCCACCCGGAGCCGGAGCCGCCGGAGGTAGGAGCGTGGAGCGTCCGAGCGCGTAGCTTCCGTGGCACGCGCGCGCGACCGCGACGACGACGACGACGACGACGTCGGGAGCACACGGGATGGCCGACGGGAGACGGAAGCGAGAAACTTTCTCTTTCTTCGCGCGACACCCCGCCAGAGAGAAGTTTGGATTGGACGGATTACCGTGTCGAGCTCACTATCCGCGGACTGTCAGCTGCGACTATCTTCCTTGCCTGACCCGGGATCACCGCCTAGCGCTACATCATGAAATCCGCGCGGCGTATATATCACGTACGAAACGACACGGCGTGCGTGGATCGATCGACGTCTCGCGTCAGGGCCGGACACTCCGAGACTGGACTCCCCCGCTCCCGCGGTCCCGCTCCGCTCGGCTCGGCTCGACTCCGCTCTCCGCGTCACCGCTCCGCTCGGCACGGCTCCGCTTCGTCGCGCTCGGTACTAAAAATCCGATCTGCCCCGTGCGCCGTGCGCCGTTACCGCGCACGCGATGGCTGCGTGCGTCGCGAAAACTGCCGCGCGACGCGGACGCCTCGCGGCGTGATCGGCGTCACATCGCATGTACGTACGTACATATACATACGGTAAACAGTATGTATGCACACGTGCGCATTTGCGATCGGCAAGAGGCGCGAAACGACCTCGCTTCCTGGAAACCCCGTCGCACGAAATCAGAAATCAATGCCCCGAAATCTCGAAGCTCGGAATCAGTCGCATTTCGCGTTCTCGAGCCGCCTTTCGTTGTCTCTTATTTTATTTATACCTTTCGATGAATGTTGAGTAGACTCCAATGTCGTTTTGATGAATAACTACCGGAAGATTCGCTGCGCGAGATGATCTTCTCGATATTCTGCATCACGAATTACCTTTCCAGCCAGAAATAATTAGTCGATGAATGATCGGTGTCGAATGCTGATTATTTTTGTCATCTTTGACCTCGTTATAGTTATTTCTATATGTTAATATGTTAATTGAGCAATTATGAATATTTCTATAAGATTTTCGTTGTCTTTCGATCAATTCTACATCAAGTTGATGTAAGAGCACAGTAAAATAT